AAAAGAAAATTAATATATGAATAATTGGCTAAAAATAATAAAATAAAAAGATAAAAATAAATGTAATAGGGATATAGATGAGATAAACCAATAATAAAAATATAAGTTTTATAATAAAAAATACAAGAATAAATAATTTTAGTACAATAGTAAAAGAAAATAAAACAAAAATGTGATTAATATTTAGATATTACAATCTAAATATCAAAAAGATAATGATATAATAAATATAATTGTGTAATAGAATACAATGTAAAAATAAAGGAGCAAATTAATTTGATCATTATTGAGATACATGATGTAATATTTAATGTTCTTTGTTATATATCTTAATTTTTATTGATCAATAATTAAAGAATTACAAATTTTTTTATAAAAATGATAATAGTACTATAGATATAATTACAAATTTAAATAAAAAACTTTAAAAGTTTGAACTTATTAATAATGAATAAAATAAAATTGAAGAAATTATATCTGTTTTAAAAATAATTAATTAATAATTATAAATTTTTAAAATTAATTAATTTCTTATAATTTATTAAATTATCAAAATACTTTTATTTATAATATATTCTATTCTTGTCTCTATTATATTAATATATTAATATATAATTATCTAATTAATGAACTTAAAATATATTGTAATAAATTTAATAATTTAAATAATATAATAATCATTATTAAAATAGATTTAAAAAATTAGAATTATATTATACAAAAACAAATAATATAAATATTTATATAATTGCTATTGGTAAGTTAATTTATTAATTAATTTATGATTAAAATTAAATTATTATATTAATAATAATTGAATATAAAATTTTATTTATTATATTAAAAAAAATAGTTCTTAATATTTATAATATGATTTAGTAGAAAAATGTTAATACACCAAAAAGTAAAAGTAAAACTTTTTTAATTATAAGTATAAAATTTATTAATTAAAAATTAATTATTTTTTACATTATTAAAAGTATATTTTAATCTAATTATTTATACTATTTTTATTCTTTTATTATCTTTTAATAAAATCTTAAATAAGACAAAACTTTTTAAAAAAATAGATTTTTAATATTTTTTTATGAATATGCTATTTTATAAATCTATATTAAGCAAGTACAGTTATATATATATATATTAAATTTTAACAAAATTGAGTTACCAGTTATTGAGAATTAAGCTTTAAAGTCTAAAAATTTGAATTTTTTTTACTATATAAAAATTATAAAAAATAACTATAAATTATTATATAAAAAATTAAACTAATCAAATTCAAAAAGTTATTAATTAATAAAATTTTTTATTTTTGTTTATATATAATAAAAAAATTATATAAATATAATTTAAATATTATATTTGATAAAAAAATTAAAATTTTAAAAGAAAAAATTTTTTTATTAATAGCAAAGTGATATATTAATATTTTTGCACTGGACTATATTAATTATATAAAAATGATGAACTTTTAGATTATATTTTTGGTAAATAAAAAAAAGTTCATAATAATAAAGTGAAACTATATTTAAAAATATCTAGAGTAATACAAGATCAGAATATTCTTTCTAATAAAAGATATATATTTAATAATTATCTAATCTATTTAATTTAATAATTCAACTTTTATATATAGCTTCACGAAATGGAATTTTCACAATTAGCAATAATAGCAAGAGATTATCTTGCAATTACAGATAAAAAAAAAGTTTGTAATTTTATGAATATTTAATATTAATTAATAAATTAATTTTAATATAGCAACAAGTGTTCCAGTAGAGTGAGTTTTTTCTGGTGAAACTTATCTAATAATAGATAAAAGATATAAACTTAAAACAGATATAATTCATGTATGTATATGTTTGAAATCCTGGTGAGCATAAAGTATAAAAGAAAAATATAAACTGAATTAATGTAATTAATATCTGATTATATTCACAATATAAATATATCTAGTTAGTTTACATTCTTAAATTGAATTGTAATTGATTTGCAATTGATTTTTGTATTGTATTATTTTTTTAGTGAAAGTACGAGTCATTTAAGTCAGACGAATCAGGTCGAATTCAGGTTGCATAAATGTTAACCCCGGGGTATTATTATATTTTAATTTTTATACTCAGAACAAGTTCGAATATGCCCAAACCTGACTTGACTCGATCCGTTCAGAGCACTAATGTAGAACACTAATCTTAAAATTAGCGTATTAGTTCAAAACTGTATAAAGAAGCATTCTTGAGCTTCTGAGAAGATATGTTTTGATCTAATAAAATAACAAAGTTCTTACTCGTAATAGTAATACTACTTGTGAATATAATATTATTTTATTTTCTTGGTCTAACTTTAAATCTTGTGAGTAATTGCAAGTAGTGGATGCTCCTCTACTCTAAATAAGCTGTCGATTTCTTTTGAATTGTTTTCTTAGACAGGCTGTATCAATAAGTCCTGTTGAATTGCCTTTTAGTAATGAGTTTTTCTTGGACAGGCCGTATCAATAAGTCCTGTCACGTTTGTAAACATATTGATCATTGTTGGATAAACAAGATTTTATAACGATTTGATTTTTGTTACAAGAGTGATTCTATTTCAAACACCCCTATTGTTACGAAAAGGTCGATTTGCGTACGAGTCGCCACGGGAAGCCTTTAGAACACCCAGAGAAACCCTTTGACCGTAAATAATTTAGTCTAGCTCATTATCACGTTGCGAGAACCCCTTATTCGGATAATTTTAGGACCGACGTAACAATACATAAAAACACAAACCATAGATATTACTCACTCCCTTTGCATAACATCTAAAGTCATCAAACGTTTGTATTTTATACAGTGTATAAAATACAAACGTTTGATGACTTTAGATGTTATGCGCCATAACTCGCGGCACTTCTCTAAAGCTAATTTTATAGTAAAAATATCAACTCCACTGTTGGATAAAAAAATTTTGCCCGGGTGTCGTATTCAATAGAATACTTTGGCAATTGTATTGGTGCGGGAGATCAACAACCGTATTTTGCTGTGCATAAGTAACTTTGACAAATAAATGTTTAATTATAAATATGTGATACTTAATATAATAAAATACGAGTGATAAATTAAAAACCAGCATTCAAGTTCTTGACAAAGATGACTACTTTGCTACCAACGAATATGTTTTGTTTCGCTAAGTCATATTATGGAAGAATAAAGTTTTTCGCAAGCATTGTTAAGGGTTAGTGCTGGGAGGATTCTAAATCCAATATACGCACATGTATATCGATATCGATATGGCTTCGACTCTGTGATTAAGATCGCTCCTAATCTAAAGTAATTTTCATTCTTGAATAAATAATCAATAGATAATTTCTTTGGTTATATGCTATATTTTAAATGATAATATCACTTTTTAAATATGTATTATTTAAACAATAACGTCTCAATTTTTTGAGGTATCAATTTTCTTTATTGTTACACTGCGAATTATTTACTTAGCATATTTAACAAACTTCATGGATAAGTTTGGAACAGAATATTGCTATCAATTTGCTCTCCTTAAAGAAACATTAATCTACGGGTTGTTCTTTCAGCATGAACTCAGGTGCATAAATGTTAGCTGAATTTTTTAAAAAAATAACCATTGTTTGAATTCAGCACTATGCAATTCCAGCAAATAAATTATTAATTCCATTTTAAACGTTAATATAGGCGAAAATATAGATTATTCATATAAAGGAAACTCTAAATATTATTTGTATAAAAAATGTTGACAAAAAAATTAAACAAAAAATCTAATAGGTAAGATGGATGTTTATGTAAAACAACAAATATATCGCTATGTCTTAACAATATATATTAGCAAGCAAGCAAACAGGAATCCAATACATATGTTTTTGTACAGCTATATATGTATAAGTGACTGTATGCGTATATAGAGAGATTTGTATCTACATGTATAAACTCCATACATTGGGGTTTGTCCGGAGACATGTATCAGAACATAGTAACGGTAAATGTTGGCGTGCTATTTATTTATGTATTTTATTATAAAATAATATCTTATTCCTCGTAAGCAACGGTGATAGCCAGATATGAGACCAACTTGATCACCATATAAATAGCAGCATAATAAAAAACTACCAATTTGATCCAGTCGCGTAATCTCCAATCAAATATTTCAAAAAAAGTATATGATGAATAAGATTCAATATCTATCTGAATGTGTGGTTGTCGCTGTTCTTTTATCTCTTCCGCCACTACTAGTGATTGTTGATAGACCAACGTGTCTTCTGTTGTGGATTTGTTTTGAACACGGTTATTTGTGTAAAGAGATGATGATTTTTGCTGATCCGAGACCATTTTCTCGTCATTGTTGCTGTCCTTGACATGGCTGAGGTCTTCAAATATGATAATTAGAGGATATTCATGTGATGACTTCATCGTTGTAAAGTTCTGAAGAATTCCACTTTTAATAATTGTGTCTGTTTTTGAACCATCATCATTTACATTCTCGGATATCGGTTTTGATTCGTTGTTCATGGTGAAATAATTTGTTGGGTAATGCTATTTAAGTAGTGTCTCTACTTAGTTTCTACGGATTCAATCAAGAAACGCCAAGTAATAAGAGAAAAGTAGAGAAATACAGAATCGCGCGCATCCTTTATAAATATTTATTTTTTGGGATATTACATATTTCACCCGGCATCACAATGTCACGCAAATGTGTAAAGAAAATGTACATGTATAACGAGAACGATAAAATAACGATAAGTAGAGGAATAATTACTAAATTTGGCACAAAGTAAATATCCAACGTTTGAACCATTGATGATTTGTTGTTACCGTTACATTACGTATACCGATACATGCAGTAAGCTTAACCCAAAAAATTGAATGATGCACACATAATACGTACGTGTATTACAGAAAAACTAATTTTTCACTCTGTTCTTGCCGTTAACATGTATATGTAAAAAGTGCTTTCCCAATCTTAGTTCATTGGTTCCTTGGTTTTATGAAAAATCAGCAACATGCAATTGGTATTCCATTAGATAAAGAAAAAATATAATATGAATGAACTTGGATTTTAATTAAAGATTACGACATTGATTTTTTATGATTGTTTATAAAGTTAATTTTCAAGTCGTTTTTTTTTTTGAAAATCTCTACATTCGAAACACTAAATGACAACTATTAGGCACCAAACCGAGTCGAAAATCATCTTTTCTTTATCATAATTACTATCCATTCCATTAATAACTTTATCCCGGGTACTAGCGCTAGTGAACGAGTGAAAAAAGGACATAGTGATAATTTCGCCAAACAAAGGCAAATGAAGAATATGCAGCAAAGAATACGATGAGATATTAAATTAGTTGGTACAAATAAAAATAACAAATACGTAAATGAATATGACCAGTCCCAAAATAAAAAAAGGTTTTAATTATGGCTCATATAATTTATGGATAATATAATTTGCGCATCAATAATAGATAAAATATTGAATGCATTATCAACAGATACAAAGTAATGATGATTTCGTAACGGTAAACAATGCACGTACATAAAATATATTACTTGTAATACATACGTAATGTTATGTTATACACAAAAATAATATTGACCATAGATAAGAAATTTAGATAAAAATTTTACTGCAGCCAATACATAGCTACTATAATTTTGATCAATCACTTGAGAACAGTGTTGTCAGAAATGTCCAATTGGACATTTAAACTATATCTCCAATTCCAATCAAAAAACAATTGACAACACTGCTTAAGCAACATAACAAAAATACCTTTATACAGTCACAACCTCTGTACAGGGCGACCAACTGTGATCTGTAATAAAATTATATTTGACTAGAGGTTCAGTTCCACAATCCAGGTTAGGATTTTTCAAACTGTGTCACCCGAAAATAATACACCTCGGTTTGATAAACCGGATTATAATCTGGTTTACATATGCTATATACATGTAGTACGTATTTTGTTCGATTTATATTCTAAATTTCTTGAATTCTATTAATACGTAGTTAAATGTTTTATTTGCCATTAAATTCGCGTTTTGACTATATCGATGATTTACTATGTCATACATTCGCCGACATTATACTTCATCCAGATTTGTGAAATTTGGGTGAAGTTTGCTTAACAAAATTAACCGGATACCGATTTCAAAAGGACATGGATTTCCGTGTGAAATTTTTAGACAGGGTTCCAATCCCTATCATTATCGAATTTGCTAAAAAAAAGCGATAGAATGAATTCTCAAAATAATTAATTTAAAACATAAAGACTATCACAAAGAATATCTCAATACGAGCTAGAGCCTAGTGATTCGGCTAAATGGTTTAGGACAATCTAGGAATTTAGGACTTAAAGTCTAAATTAGACTAAATAATTAAATAGGCTAAATTACTAGAATCTACAAAAAAAATAAAAAATTAATAATTTAGCCCGAATCAATAGCTATGGTGCATAAAATCTAAAGTCATCAAACGTTTGTATTTTACAGATGTATAAAAATCTTTACTAAGAAGTAAATACAAAATTTAATCCGTGAATATGCTCAGAAAAAGCCTATTCTATCATATTCACGAATTAAAGTTTGTATTTACTTCTTAGTAAAGATTTTTATACATTTTATAAAATACAAACATTTGATGGCTTTAGATTTTATGCACCATAGGGGTGTGATAATATTGATTCAAAATTTGAATCCCTCATCCTTTTTTATCTTGGTCAACAACGAAATCACCCAATTAAAAAAGAAACATAAACTTCAGCATCGTGTACACTTCCGACAAGTTCTGGTACAACCCATAAGCCCAACAAATGAAATCTCGAAATCACAGCATCCCGAATGCACAGTATCCTGACATTTAAAATATCGATATGCATTGCATATACAAATTCATATTGGCATCGGTGTTACTTTTTCTAATATTATGATTTAAATTGTGAGGATTTTTGAACTAACAGGACAGGATTTCGTGCTTTCGGGATGCAATGCATTCGGGCTTTCGTGCACTCGGGATGCCGTGCGTTCGAGATTTCGTTTGTCGGGTTTATGGGTTGTCTATATTGTGGTTGTCGGGATGTTGGACAGCACAGGTAGAAATAAGAAATAAATCTGTAAGAAAATATATACCGTATTTTACCTGCAAAGCCCCCGGTACGCTATGTTCCGCCCATGTTTTTTTAATCGTATCCGGGATATGGTGTAAGGATTAGGGTAGGTTGTTTGATAAGAGTATATAATAATAATAGCGCTCGTCAGAAGTAACCTACCTCCCATATGTGTAATTTTCCGAGCACAAAGAACATTACAAATGCTGATCGTTGACACATGTACCTTTTATAGATTGGAAAAGCTTCTATATCGGGTGTTGTATGTTCACGTTCAAAATACGTACATGTATGATCTCTTATTTCATAACACACATCTCAACATTCAATAATCTGATTCTTGGCGTTCAGTGAACAAACATACAACCATTCGATTCGCCCAATCAAGGTAATATTTTTGTTCAAATCGGATCACTGGCTGTCGAAATATTACGTCAGATTCTTTTTTTGGAGTTAACAAAAATTAATCAGCCAATTTAGGACGTGTTATCTCGATCGCCAGTGATCTGATTCGTTTTGACTAGGCAAATCGAATGGTATGGTGCGCATCATATTATTTTTGTTCGAATTGGATCAAGATCTCTAAATTGATCGACAAATATGAATCGGTCACTTTAGGGCGTCTAGTGATCCAATATACTAGACAAATCAAATGGTGATATTTTTGCTCAAATTGGATCACTAGATGTCGAGATACATACGTATTATGTCCTAAAATGAGTATTTAGAAACTCTACTAATCTATAAAAAGCATCAATGATCAGCATTTGTATGTTCTTTGTGCTCGGAAAATTTTGGTACATTACACACTATAATATGCCAGGTGCCATTCAATTTTTACAACCATTTCTGCTGATACTTATCCGGCTGGGATCTTGCATGATAAAAGACGGTAAACTTTCTTAGGGTTGATTAATTTGTCATCGTAATTCATAAACAACAACTACCTTGCAAAATCTTGTTGAATTTCTTCAATATTAATATTAATTGTATTTCTTTGAAAGTTGTATAATCAGAAGTTTATAAATAAATATACTACGTATTTGTCAGCAATTCAGAGGATTTATTCTTTCAATACACTCTATATGCTTTATTATTTATAGATTTATTCTTTCAATACAGCTTATATGCCTTTTATTTATAACTTCGGAGATTTATTCTTTAATTACGATTTATATGCTTTTTTTATTTATACGATTTGTAAATTAAAAAATTACTTAATCGATACAATGATTTAAAATTAAAACTTGCATTATATCTATCTGATAAATTTGTTTTATTTAAATTTCAATTAGTAAAAAGGTCTAATATCAATATTGTATTTATATATTTGCATATTTAAAGTTATTGCATAGTAAAATCGAAATTAATTTTCCTGGACTCATTAGAAAATGAACTTAGGGTATAGATTTTTTTTAAGTATCTGCATGTCATTGAGAATAAATTCATAGAACCCATGAATATGTTATCAAATATGTTAGATGCACAAATCTCTCTGAACACCGTACCAAAAACTAATTTTTACAAACTGATTTGTTTGCTATAAATAAAAATTTTGGTGAATACAGTTTTGCGGTATATGTTCCAAAATAAAATTTTTATTGAATACTAACAAGCTGCAGTATATTAGAATGGAAATTTGTATTATAAATATAAAGCAAGTGAATCTTGAAAAATATATTTTTTAATACACTTTTCAACGGGCTTTTTTGAAACATGGATTTTCCAAAATAAACCAAGCTAGATCATCTTTTATCAAAATTGAAAACGAAGTGGAAAAAGTGACAAGTGAAAAAATTGGCTTTTGAATTCAATAGAAACGATAAAAACTATATGGAAAAGAAATTTATTGTGATTATAAAATGTTTCTTCTTTTAATAGAATATTACTCTGTCAAAAATAATCAGGCAAAAATTCGGGGGTTTTTTTAGTTTTGGAAAACCACAGGTTTGTTATAAAATTTCCTGAGGAAGATGGAAAAAACGGGGACGTGATATCTCGTGATCCACAAATTTAATCCACAGGTTCTAGAATAAACCATTCGATTTGCCTAGGCTTGGCGAATCGAATGGTGTGATTCATCTGGATTAACCTGTAGATTTCGAGATATCGATATCTCGTCCCAAAATTACTGGATCCATTTTAAATTTTTGCTCAGAATTAAAATAAATGCATTATTTCCAAACGCACTATCATTAAATTCATCTAGTTTTGATGAATTTAATGGTAGTAATTTTTACAAAATGGTCGGATAATTCATCATGTTCCAAAATTGCTGATTTTTTGAAAAAAAACTTATTTTAATTTGGTACATTTTATTAGAAGCATGAAGTCTCATGACTCGCCAGGCTAAATTCCACACTAAATTTCAGTAAATATGTGGCTTTATTATCATCTAATTTGGTTAAGTGAGTCATGAGATATTACTCCATTTTTTAAAAATGCGGAAAATAAAAAAATTTGTCCAGTAACTTTAGAACTTGATATCTCATCATTCACGAGTCCAATTCGGACAATAATATCACCATTTGGTTTGACGAATCGGTTGGTGTATTTTTGTCAGGATTGGATTAATGAATCGTGAGATATTATGTTACGTTCTAAAGTTACCGGATAATTTTGTTTCCCAGTTTTTTCCGTTTTAACCCGATTTTCATTAAATTTATAACAAATTCGGAAATAAAAACCCCGGATTTTTGCCTGATTATTTTTTATAGGGTTAATGTTAGTAGTGATAGAGTTTAATAGTATGTATTTCACAGTCCTTGCTGCTCGTTTAGAATAAAATCTGTCGCACCAAAGAAAAAATGACCAAGTTTAAGGTAGCAAATTAATATTTGCATGTACCAAAATGAAATATCTCATGTTATTATAGGTCTGTATTTATGCACGTTAAAATTTAATCAACATCATCGTTATGATAATTGTGCAAATTAAGAAATACATGTTTACGTAGTTAGAAAGATTTAAGTGAAACATTTTGTCAAGACGTAATAACTTTAATTTGTTTATTTTTCCGCATTAGCAAGTATCCGATATTAAAAGGGAAACATTATTTATTAAAATATAATGAAATCAGTTATAAAACCATCAAATAAACATGTAATATTGATTATATTATATTTAATAAATCCAATAAAAAACCTTGAAAATATTCGTAATTAAAATAATAAGTTTCAAGATAAATGGAAAGCACAAAAATTTCAAAAAACTATTTGGTACTTATTTACCCAGTAAATAAATTATTTTGTTGGTAAACAAAATTGCAAATTTCAAAATTACAAATTGCATCGTCATTATTATTGGCATCATTATAATAATCTTCATTTGTTACAAGTTGGTTTAGAAATTGCGTCGTTATCAACATTTCAGTGTTGTGTCGCGTAAGAGTAATTATTTCTTTATAAATTTTATATTTTTGTTGGTGATTATGAGCATTATAACTGCTATTATCGCTCAGATTATAATTAAGGTCTTGAGAAATATTAGTGTAAATAATATGATGATAATTATCATATTCAAAATATTCATTTATGATTGTAGGAATTGAAAGAGGATTGGATTGATGGTGATGTTGCAGATTTTTCTGATCCAAATTAGTTTCATTTGAAGTGGAGGGGATAAAAAATTGCTGACAAGCTGAAATATCATTATAATCATCACAATTATTGTTATTATCAAAATTATTGTTATTATGATAATTATCATAAATTCCATTGTTCATGAAATTATTATTATTATTATTGTTATTGAAAGTGATAGTAGGCAGATGGCAATAATAATTTTGTTGATCATTTTCTGATAAAGAAAATAATAAATCATCATCCACATTGAATGATATTTCATTATTAGTATTAACCTTGCGATAGGTTTCGATATGATGTGGTTGAATAAGATGACGATGATGATAATAAAGTTGTTGTTGCGCTTCATAATTAAAAGATAAAAGATTATCAAGATCAAGATCAAGATCGATATCGATATTTTCAAGCATTTTTAAGGAATTTACATAAAAGACGAATTATCAGGGAGCTCTTTAGGTTTTTCTTGTTATTAAATAAAAAGAAATTTGGAAAGAAGTAAAGAAAAATTTCTATCAAAGTCTGCTTTATATAAAAAATTATTGAATATATATATAGTTTAAAGTAAAAACACGCATATATAAATGAAGGAATTTATGGCATAGACGCGAGATCCATTTAATGAAACACTAAGGATGCCAAGTGTTCTTTTCGTCTCTTTTTAATCAGTCTACAATGAATTTAAAGTTTGTCTCTAACATGTTTTTTAATCCATGCAAAAAAGAAAATCATTGACGTTCAAACAAATATCGTTTGATTGTTTATTGATGCACTATAAATTAAATAATTGTTCCAATCATTATCTGGTTTTGTTTTATAAGTCTAGAGTCGTGTTTTTGTGTATGTTTCAAAGATATGTAAATTATAAAAACAATAATTTATTTTTTTTTAGAAAACCGTTTTTTGGTATGTAAACATATCCTAAAATGGACGATGAATGAGCTGCATGGAGTGCATATGTAGTTATTTGCCGGACATCAATAGATGGTCATCTTTTTTTGTTTTTGTTGTGTGAAAAGAAGAATTGTTTTCATTTTCTTTATTCCATGTTGTGTGAATCAATTGCATGCCACAAAAATCAACGCTTATAGCCGCAAATTCATGAAAATTTATCAAATAAATAATTTTGTCAATGTCCGCTGGCGAATCATAATAAAAAATCATTATTATCAGGAATCTCTATAAATGCAAGTTTGGTACATGTATCTTTTGTATCGTACTCGATTATTTGTTCTTAATAGAAAGTATTTAATTCTAATTTTTTATATGAATTGAATGAGCGTGTTAATCTTAAATAATGTATATTCCCTGATACTATATGTATTTTTCATTATTATTCGAGAAAATCAACAATAGCGACGAAATCTTAAAGAAAAATATTGATTGGTGAACTAAAATGGAATTAACTCTATTAATTTCTATGTTAGGCATGATCACTCATCTTTTAAAAGTAATGTGATCTCCTCTCTACGTATTTGTTATGTATGCACAAAATATAAATATTGCTAAATTCATTAATACATGTAATATGAACCCCATCGCTATACTTAGTCAGTAAATCCAGGCACCAATAAATTTAGAGCGGAAGATGTACGTATATACATGTAGTAGCGGTAGCATTTCACGAAAATATTGATATTCATTTTGCTTGTCGTTTTTATATCAAACTCCTTAAACATATGCAATCTGTAAATGTGTCAGGGTACCTTAAAAAAAATAGAATTTTGCTAGTTTATTAGATAACTTGGGTATTTATCAAATCTGCAAATTATATAATTCGATTAACTTTGTTTAGAATTATCATAATTTAATTTTTGAAATTAATTAAATGTGTCCGTGTAATGGCAAATCCCTATAACGATAAGCCTGTAAATGTCTAAAACTATACGGAAAACCTGATGCATTTGCAAACGTCCGTAAACGTGTCGTTTCCAGACGCATAAACAAGTAAAAGTCTGTTTATTCTATGATATATAGGACAATCTTTTCCGTATGCAATTTACGTGTTTATGCGTATATGATTCGGATAAGTGAATGTGTGTTTTTGTATAAGTTTAATATTATAACGTTACTTTCAGTAATTGAAACGAGAATACCTCTGTATAAAGGATCCCTTTCACCCCTCCGGTATTCAGCATATGCTCAGATGATTCATTCGATTTGTAATTGATTTATTAGGTACAGTGTTTAAAATTCCTTTTAAATTCCATGTATATACACATGCACACTTTTAAAATCACAATATGCAGATTTTAAGAGTTGTATTTACAGTATGCAATTTTAAATAAAAAATTTGCAATCTGCACTAATGAAGCCGCACAAATAACTACTACTCTTTTAAGCCACCGCATATCAAAAAAAAAATAATATTCGCACAAAAAGACACGTGCAAAAAATATGCAGAAACTCTGCGGTGTTGTTTTTTTCTTTGAAAAAATACCTGCGCAACCAGTCTCCAATGCAGATTGCGCAGACCAATTTTAAACACTGAATAAGTTACATAAGCGTTATTTCTGAGATAGCTCCTCCCCTTCTCACTTAATCACGTAATTTCTGGTCAGCTCCCTAATTCATATCGTTTCATGCATATATCAAAATTAGGTAAGAGTAGACATTGAAAGTACAAAAACGGATTCTATGGATAAACTTTGTCGTACAGGGTGTGCCAATAGGAAATTCATAATGATAATTGATTAGGAAGTGTTTAAAGACGTGCAGCAATGCTTTTAATAGCAGAATTGTTTATATTTTGTAAGATATGATAAAGATAAATTGACTTCGTAAAATTATCTGAAATAAATAGACCATAACAATAACGATAAACCTAGTATTCCAAACGAATCGAACTTCCGAACTTCGGAATCCTCTTGAATTCATCTTTGAAAATTCTTTTGTTAGTTACACAAGCTAAAAAGCTATATACGTATATCGTTATCAATGAGCAAACGTTAACGTCAATATTAATTTGTGCAAGTGTAACAATTATGAAATCAAATGTGTTGCCACATTGTTTTTCTAATTAACGTTAATGCAGGATTTCTGGAATAAAAATTTGCCGATGCTAAATATGTACCAGTACGTATTAACAATGTATAAAAATCAAAGCATATCGATATTATTTTTTAAATTTAGCATTTTCACAGGGGGAAATTTTATGCTTAAAATTTTATCAAGAGTTGTGTAAATTAAAACGAAAAATCTGCATTATGTTCTTACCAATAAATTGTAATTCAACACAAAATTTCAAATAAATCTCAAACTTTCACATTATTATTTGCATACTTGTTCCTCCCCAGAAATAAGATTTATGTTCCATTCTTTGTAATAGAACGTGTGCAACAATTCCACAGCAAATAAAAGTTTGAATTGCTGCCGAAATAAATTATTTTTGGATAACAGCGAATGCATGCTTTTCTTTGTTGTAAAGTGGCGTCGAGTGAAATCGCAGAGTGTTTTTTTCTTTGTTTCGAATAAAATTTCAAAAAACATGTTATTCAAAAGTTTAATAAAAGACAGTGTTTGCTCAAAATAACTAAAAAGTATTTTACTAAGTTCTACTCGCACTCTAATAAATATGACCAAAGAAATTATTTCTTTAAAACTTAAACGTAAAGTCGAAGACGATCATCTACGTCTACACGACATTGACAGAATTGAGGAAATTTTATCTCCTTTCTTTAAAGTTGCACCAACACTCCATTCGACCGTGTCTGTGAGATTTTTATTTGACGAGTCTACAAGTAATAATAATGACACGGATTGCATAGAAAACAAAGATAACGGCATTATTGACGCCAAGATATACCAAATTGGAGAATTGCAAAAACTTGTCAAAGAATTTCTAGAGTCAAATTATGACTACGCGCAAATTATCAGCACGGAACCAAATCAAATAAACTTGACAATAAGAAGAAACAAAAAATTTTGTCAAGAAGAAAATAATAAAGTTGACGATGATAGAAGTACATGTAATCAAGTACAAGTACGAGATGCAAATGCACAATCTAAACACGTAATCATAAATATAAATGATAAAAGCGACGATACATTTGATGAAATTTACGAATCGGGAGTTTCTGGGTGGCTTAAATTCATTATTTTTTATTTGACGATTTTAATTATGTTTTGGAACGTGGTTGGATTTTTTTTCTCTGAGAAACATTACATTCTATAATTACTAAATTCCCCTGACATGTATATTTTTTTACCATTTTTATTTTTATTCTGTATAATTATATATTATTTTATTACATGTACTATAAGTTATTACTTTCGGCCATTTCCGCTATGCAATTAGGCGCGGAAAAATGAATTTCCTTCCCTTAATCATTGACTTTGTTTCTACTATTGGAATTTTAATAAGTAATAAATAGGTCCATTTAATTTTTTGTAAAATTTTTTTTGGACGTATAGCGATAGCATTTGATTTGCTGATGGATTATCGTTATCCATATCGATATCCTAAGCCGGAAAATCCTTTCCCACTTGATAGCGATAAAATTAAAGTTCAAATGCTTTCGTCCTCTGCTTCTTATAATGGTATATTAGTGCTACTCCTTTTGCAGCAAACAAGTATATTCGAGTGAACCGGTTAAAATTTTCTCCTCTTTATTTGAGTTCGTAAATGATTTTTTTTTAATTCTTAACAGGTATATATAGAATTCCAAAATATAACTTTTATATAATTATTAATAAGAAGGCAGTGCTTGTTAAATTTGACCTTCAATATGCACCCTGTTGTCCAAGATGAATGTTTGGTAAGTATCTAAAAATTTGTTCGCAGCAGACTTAAATTTTAAGTTTAGGTTAATGATACTTGACGATGACGAAACCTTTCGTTACGATCATTTTGAATAAGTCTGTGACGAATGACGAAACCTATGACGAAACTTTCTGAACAATGAAATACTAGCTCGTGAATCACGATGATGACTATTTTTGAATGCACATATTGTTGCGGTTTCGTTAGGTTGGGGGCGATTTGAGAGATTTATAACGCAACAAGTCTTTGGGAGAGATTATTATGTTTGTTCGATATCTAGAGCCTGTGCCGATATCTACGGATATCGTTGATTATGTTGATTTGGGGGGAAGAGAGAGAGTCTGTGTGATTCAGGTGAGTGTTCGAGGGTTCTTTTATTTGTTGCTTTTTATAGGTGAAAGCTTAAACTCTTAAAAATATTATTAACAATCGTCGCTTTTTCTAGATAAAAGCCTTAAACTCTTAAAAATAATAACGTTAACGGTGATCACACAAAAACGGTTTTTCATTAACAATGCGATTCTACGCGA